TTCAGCAAGGAGTGGTAGGTTAAAACAAGAAAAAGTTGAAGTCTTTAAAGTTGATCTTTGAAATACTTGACAAACTAATGTACCTGGTATTCATCAGGAACCATTTGAAGAAAAACACAGGCGATATTTTGATTTCCAACGCCGAACAGGTCAACTGCCAGTGCAGAAGGAGGTGAGAGAAATTTGAAGTATATTTGTCAATGTACATGTTGAGCCTTCTCTTTGTCTTATCTGGACTGCCAAACTGATAAACCTGAACGTGTAATCAATAGGGTGAAGAGGTGGATTATAGGGGTGTCCTCCATCGTGATGGATCTGTTCTCGTGTCCGTTTCTTTGGATCAATTAAAGGTCTGATTGATAGTTTGCTTTTGGAAATTTTACTGTTATTCGCCTTTATGTTCTTTACTTTGTATTTGACTGCTTCTGATAAATTTTTTGTTCATTTTTATCAGACACCTGAACTTCTGTACAGATCTTTAGCGGCAAAACTTGTAGTTGGCATGCCATTTAAGGTCCTTTCCCAAATACTTTTATTGCGTTAAATAATTAACCTATGTTAGATATATATTGAGATTTTAAACGAAGTTATATGTTGTCACAGGATCTTGCGACTGTTGACTCAATTTTATTGAGAGAGCTTCCTCCTGTTGATGATAACGATGCAGTAAGGACCACTTCTTTTTAGTCTGATAATATCAGTGTTTTTAATGTTGTGCAGTTGTGCATTTAGTATCATTTACCTTTCTAGGAACTTGCATCATCTTGATCCTTGGACCTTGTGGTTCTAAATTTGTTGCATCTGCTGTAATGTCATTCCAAGTTTAAGAATGATTTGATTGTTCCCTATATTATGACCAGAGATTAGCTCTCAAAAGGTTGATAGACATAAGCATGGGTGTTATAACACCTTTGTCAGAGCAGTTAACAAAACCTCTGCCATATGCCATGGTTTTGGTTACTCTAAAGGAACTATCAAGTGGAGCACACAAGCTTCTCCCTGAAGGCATGTTTTCTCCTTTTGCTCATTAACTTCATATAGCCAGTAGTTGGGTTATGTTAACAACTATTTTTTTTTTCAGGAACACGCTTGGTTGTCTCTGTACGCGGTGATGAACCCAAAGAAGAGTTGGAAATCCTCAAGAGCACTGATGCCACAATGATTCTTCATGACATAACCTATACAGATGAAAAGATTGGCAGAGTTCATGCTGCTAGGAGGTAAAGTTGTATCAGATTAATAAAAACTGCACAATACTAGTCGTCAGCTTGTTGAGGCCGATAAAGTATGAGGAATAAACAACAGTTTGCAACTGTCTCTATGCATCCATATTAATATGCTCAAATAATGACTCAGTTGACTGTGCTGGCCACAGGGATATTAATGGACTTTGCATGTGCTTATATTGTTGGTGCTGAGTGGACAATGTTGTTCTTTAGTAACTACCCTAAATTGTAACCCATTGTCTGGGATTGACTGCTAAATCTAAACTGTGCAGGCTTTTTGAGTATCTTTCTGAAAACTCCCTCGACTTCCCTGTCATTCATCACATTCAATTTCCTAGAGCAATCCACAGGTATCATGGAACTAAGATTAGTTGACTAAGATGAACCTGGGCTAGATTTTTGAACCACGTTTCTCCTACTCCTTGGCAGGGATGATTTGGTCATTGGCGCTGGGAGCAATGCCGGAGCCCTTTTGGTAGATGGTCTTGGAGATGGAGTCTTGTTGGAAGCCCCTGAACAGGACTTCGAATTTCTCAGAAATACATCATTCAATTTGCTGCAAGGTTGCAGAATGCGTAATACAAAGACGGTGGGGATTTCATTTTTGAAATGATTCTGAACAATAAACAATGCGTATCTCAGACTTACCTCTTTACGTCACAAATGTGCAATTTCTGTACCAGGAATATGTGTCATGCCCATCATGTGGGCGAACCTTGTTTGACCTTCAAGAGATAAGTGCAGAAATAAGAGAGAAGACATCACATTTGCCTGGTGTTTCGGTGAGTACCTTAGCACTCTATCGCTAGATTTTATCAATTAGTGCCTCTCACTCTTGGGTATACCAAATTAATTTTGCCTATTCAACTCGATCTCTTCTTGTAGATTGCAATTATGGGTTGCATTGTGAATGGACCTGGAGAGATGGCTGATGCAGATTTTGGTTATGTTGGTGGTGCTCCTGGAAAGATCGATCTTTATGTTGGGAAGGTACCTTCATTTTCATACCCCACGAACAAAACATTTGCTTCACGAACCATAACTATTTATGCTTTGCATCCATCATGTTTGTACCGTACATGGCTGATGGCTAGTATGATGGTTCAAGATGATCAACATGTTATATACAAAATAAACTGTTTGATGAATTTGATGGTCCCTTCATTTGATCAGACGGTGGTAAAACGAGGTATTGCCATGGAGCAAGCAACTGATGCTTTGATCCAGCTAATTAAAGACAACGGACGCTGGGTCGACCCTTCCGCGGAAGAGTAAAATGAGTCTGCATTGCAAACACAAGAAGAAGACAGCAGTCAAAATATATCGATGTTTAGTCATGAACAGGAATCCCAAGTCTAAGGCGTACATGGTGAGGCAACCTTTTTCCCTGGAACTTGTCTCCCAGTCTGCGGTCTTAGCACAGAATAACGAGAAATATGATGTAGCATTACAATCCATGAATCATGGAACAGATCTTAATTGATGTTCATGTAAATTAGTGATATATTCATTATCAAATAAATCAAATTTGTAATTCTGACTGGAAAGGCCTGCTAGCATGTTCTTGAAGTATCTGCTTGTCAAAGTACTTGTTTGTACAAGGCTAGATGATGTCTGAAGTTCTATCTTTTTTCTTTTTTTTTTCTCCCTATGTTTTTTGTCAAATATGTTATCAGCAACAGATAAAAGTAACTGAAAGTTCAACTCCTACGATCTCAACCTCCGTCCAAGCAAAGCAGGAAGATTCCGCACAAATTCATTTATTGCTCTGGCAAAATGAAGGCTAATCAAAGCTACTTCTCTCAGTCCCTCCAAAAATAAAAAGAAAAAAGCTATTTCTCTCAGTTAATGAAGATTCAGTACGGGGCACCCCGGCCTTTTGGGTTCAGATGATGAGCATCTTAGTAGAGTCCAGTTTGGTTAACCCAATTTAGATTCTTCCTTTTTTTTTGGAAAAAAAAAAAAAGCATGCTTTTCCACTCCAGGTAACTTAAACTCGATCGATCGCTTTACATTTGAATTATTTGTGTCGAATTTTTTGTTATCCCCTTCAGACCAATACAAAGAAAGATCAACAACAGTAGTATCATTTAATGCGCATTTCTGCAATCAAACAATTGGGACGGGAGAAGAAAATGTGAGCAAAGTTGCTGATAGTGGAAAGGGCATCTCCAGCTGTCCCCTACCAAACAATCTTTTTTAGTACTACTTTATAGTTTGAAGCAGATTCTCAAGTGCCACAACCCTCGTGAAGCTCTTCTAAAAAAAAATGTGAGGCCAATATGAGGGTATTTTTCGTTACATGCCAACTAGTACAAAAAGTACATTTATTTTTTTTAATGTATATGGAAGGTTTTTGAACACAATACTTCACACTTACACTCATCTTTCGTGCCATCCAATCCATTCATCTTCTAGTATAATCCCTCGCTCGGTATCAAAAAGTTGGATTGGCCATTTTTTCAAAAACAAGTTTTTCAAATACAATGCAATAGTAATATAATAATAATTTTAAAAACATCTCATCCATATAATACATCAAATATTTCAAAAAAATTTTATAGTAAATATTTTTCCATATACACTGCTACAGTAAAATTTTTTAAAAACATTTCCAAAAACAACTAATCCAAACGGGGTAGGATCCAAATATGTGAAATTGGCTGGTACTCTCACTAGGATTAGAATTAATATTTTTTTGAATGTTAATTGTCTACAATACATGATGATGAATGGTGATTGATTTTCTGCATCGTCGAATTCGACATTTTAGAAGGCCTTTTTTTTTTTTTTTTTTTGTTTGATTCAAATTAAGATTTTTATGTTTTGCACATTTTAACGCATATGCTAAGATGGAAGACAAAGCAAAAAAAGGAACAAACAAATTTGGTGCCCGCGAAGGGTGATGGATGGCCATGTAAAGTTGTCACTACTCTTTACATACTCACCAAACTCCAAAAGGGAAAAACAACACCCAGCTTACTCACTGCCGTCCGTCACCTGCACACGAAAAATGTACTACACTACATAGTACATACATCCCAGGAATCGGGACCCCGCCCCCGACATCTCATAAAAACCACATGCCAACCCACCACGACCATGACAATTGACAACTCTCCTCACTGCTCCTAATTCTTCTTCAATCTGGTAATTTCCCAAACTCTACTTTACACCTTCGTCGGTCATGTACATTTCAACAGCAGAGGAAACCAAATTATCCTTCAAAAACAAAAACCAAATTATAGTAATGACCCCAAGAATTTATTGATATTGACATCCATTGCATTTTTCTCACCAAAAAAAAAAGACCAATTGATGTGCTCCCCCCACCCCACTTCAGTTAAAAGACCATATATATTATTTTATTTTATTATTAGACTACAAAAATCATTACCATAATCAAACTAATAACATGATGGATTTATTCAAACTACAATTCCTCAAACATTCATGGTCCAATCAAATTTTGAACATGTGATACGCAAGCCAACCAAAAGAATTTATTGAATCGAATACTAGTAAAAATGGTCAATTAAATTGCAACTGGACAAAAAAAAATCAATTTCTGGCACAAGAAAGTTTTTATTACGAGCAAAGTAAAGAATCAAACAAATCATGTGGCCTCCCAATCAAAATAAATCTCTCTCAACTTAAATGCCACAAAATCTACCAGCCATTAAGTATTAGTAGTCTAGACTGTATCTCTATATAGATATAGAATCTGTATCTATATATGTAATTTTTTTTTTTATTACTAGTAGTACTTGAGTCCTACAGAAGTTCCCGCCGGGCGGCGTACCCAAACTGCGCCCGCTGGATATTCTGCTGGCGCTTCTTGTAAACCAATGCTCCGATCCCGACGATGCAAACTCCGGCGACTACTCCGATGGCAATCCCGGCCTTCTTGCCCCGACTCATTCCTTCCGACGACTCGCCTTCCGCCTCTATATCACTCGAGTCGGCTTGACTAACATCGCCGGCCTCAGACGGCGACGGTGCAGGAGACTTCTTCAAGGGCTCAGTAGAATTAGCCGGAGTGAGAGCAGGCGAAGGGGAAGACTCCGGAGCCAAATCTGGCGGTGGGGCAGGAGGGGAGTTCACAGACGGCGACGGTGATTTCTTGGGCTCCAGACTTGGGACGTCAGCACCGTGGTCTGGCGACGGGCTGGGTGAAGTTTGCGGCGGATCTACAGAGAAAGAGAGTGGGGAGTTGAAGAGCAGTACGAGAAGAGCGAGGGTGAAAATGTGGAATGTGGACATTGTTGATTGATTGACTGATTTACAAACCGCTTTTTGCTGGAAGATCTGCAGAAAGTACAAGTAATAAAAAGGAGACCCAAGTACAATTGAGTGAGGAAACGGGAATGATGGGTGGAGTTTTGTTTTGGTTTCGTATGAGATCTAGTTAATTTCTGGGACTGTAAAGATCTGGAGAAGTAAAAGGGGTTGACAAAGGAGTGTGAGCGTATGGGACGGAGGCAGGGAGGGAAGGAGGGAGATAGAGAGAGACGGCAGTGGGATGAGGAGAAGAACGCGGGGGGATGGATGGAAGGGCGATGAAGAAGATGTTTGATTTAAATATAAATAGTCCTCCTAGATTTGTGATTTCCGAGGAGACGTGAGATTGGAGGAAATGGAGTGGACTTGGGGTGCAAATGGAAACCGGGAAAGTGCTTATCAGTTTTTCATTTTCAAAGTTACCGTGTGTAATTCAAGAAATTCTTCCATATCTATTTTGAGTGTCATAACTCATATCCATAATTATAATTCAAGAAATTCTTCACATATTATTCAATAATTTAAACTGTTAAAATCATCTAAGGTCTAATATATCTATTTACACATCCAATGGTAAATTAATACTCATCTTTATTTACATCAAACGATAAATTGGAATTGGTGCTTATCGATGTTGTACTTAAAAGGTTGTACAGAACTCTTGAATTGCATATTATTTACACATTATTTATACATACTGATTTATTTACATCATCAATATATTTTTCAACCATATTTTAATTTCACATATATTACATCAAAAAAATGCTACAGTATTTTTTCAAAAAATTATTCCAAATAATTAATAATAAGGGTGGTATTTGACCCGCTAAATCGATCAAATATGGGTTTTGTGATTATGCAAGTTGAATATGGGTTTTATTTTTCAATACCCACAAATATCGAACCCATGCCTAAATTTTAATATTTTTAAATATTTTTATAATAATTTTTAAATTTTGCATACTTAAAAAAAATATAATATAACACTTTTTTTTGAAGGAAAAATAATCTAACACTTTGAATTTATGTAATCGAATCTTCATCTTATTTTACAATAGCGGTCCATATTTAGACTGTGGAGGTTATCATCTGATGCATTGTAAGGTGGTAGTGTTTTGAATTTCCTTATTTGTCCTTATCTTTTTTTTTTTTTGAAGCTCTTATTTGTTTTACCGCTGGAGTCAAGAACAGTGAATCTGAGGGGGCCAATGCCAATGGAAGACTACTAACTAGTATTTCATTTCCTGACCTTTTATTCCATTCTATTCTTGCGTTTCACTCCTTTTCCAATAAGTTGGACTTCGAGGGTCAATGATAATCTCCTATTCTTCTTCTTCTTCTTCTTCTTTTTTTCAATGTAATCTGCAAGTTAGAATTCAATGAAATATGTCATGTGTAATGCCTAAAAGTGCCTTCATATAAACGATTAAAATTGGAAACATCTATGCCAATTTTTTATTACAAATTAACACCCCCTCATCCAAAAAAAATTTTCGATCACATAGAAGCATTCCTCATTCCTAACTCCACGTCGAATTTTTAAAGCATATCTCTTAGTTTTACCCCTAGATTGTTCATGGATAATTAGTTGTCAATAATATTACTTGTAATTACTCAAAATGGATAAAATATAGGTGCTTCAACATGAAAGGCGAATAAGTGAATTTATTGTTATTTTTTTGCTGTTTAAATTTGGTCTTAACTCTTTTAGTAAACAAGTTGGGATGAAAAATGGGGATGGACATTATTGTTGATTAATAGATGGAGCCTTCAGCTTTTGGCTTTTTTGGTGAAGCCCAGAATATTATAACCAAAAATGGGTCGACTGGAATTGTAAAGTACAGCTGAGTGTGGTTAATTTTTTTTTTTTTTCAATTGTAAGTAAGAGTATTGAATTCTTTTTTTTTTTTTTTCGACACAGGGGTGTTCGGGTCAATCCTTACGGGGCCCGACTAATCCCCTGCGGCCCGGGTCCGGAGCCCCAACCCGGCCCGAACACGTTAAGTGCGCGGAGGAATCCAGCGGAGCGGAGACTCGAACTTGGGATCTTAAGGGTCACCGGTGAGAGGCGCTACCGCTGGACCATTCACGCGGGGGCAAGTGAGAGTATTGAATTCAAGAACCCTTATTTACAAAATTTTATCCAATTCAGTGCTTCCCAGCTGGATCGAGGCTATAATTGTTCAAAAAGGAGAACTCATGAATGCCACATTTAAGTGGCTTGTTTCCAAAAAAATTCAGGCGAGTGTGCTGTGCATTTGTTTGGTCCGGTGGTGGTTCAGTCCCCTCCGAGTTATTTCTCCTTAGGTCTGTCCCTTCCCCTTAGTATAGAATAGATTAGGTTTATTGTCTAAACAAAAAAAAAAAAAGAGAGAGAGGGGTTGACACCTAGACAGGAGAAGAACATGGGGGATGATTACAAAGACAGATACTAGTACTAAACTAAACTGTCTAGATTCGAGGAGAGGAGGGATGCGCGGGGGATAGGCGGTAAAGGATTTGACATTTGGCATTTAGGCTTTGGTGGAGTTTTCTTTGCAAGAGGGAAGTGGCGTGAATCTGAAGCAAACCCACGAACCGGCACGACTCCTCTCAAGAGTCAAGTCTCAAGGGGAGAGGGAAACAAAAGAATGAAGAAGTTTGTAATGTTGCTCTTTCGTTTCACTCTCTTTCGCCATTGGGAGACGCCGAGTGTCAGGCATCACAAGAAGTAGTTTCATTTCTTTGGTAATCTTAAGAGTCTGTTCAGATTACACAATTTCTTACAAGTTTTGTACAAAAATGTGCTGCAACGAATTTATTTAATGTACGTGAAATAAAAAAATTATTAAAAATATATTTATAAAAAATGAAAAATTTTTAAAGAAAAATTTCAATCCACCTACTCCTAATATTGGCTGCCCATGTTTACAGTATCATGGGCAATCCATCTCCTCAAACATTTCTAAATACTACTACCGTGAATTGATTCAAAACCATTTTGACAGAAAAAATATGAAAACAAAAATAAGAAAATAGAAACGTATTAGATTGTTTGTGACAACACAAACACGAGATCAGTTGAGATGTTATATGAGTTTTGATCATTCTCTATACAAATGTGACATATCGTTCAGTAGTACTTTTAATAAAATGTAGCCCCTTCTTTTCTTTCGCAAGAACAAGCCATTAATAAATCCTTACCCCACAACTTCTCAAAATTGCCCCTCAAGTTTATCGCCCAGCTTAACACAACATATTTATATGAAAATAATTTAAGAATGTAATGTTGTCTGTCTACATCGCGTCCCTTTGATATATGTTTTCATTAAGGAAATAGAGGATTATGGCTCCACAAAAACAAGAAGGAACGTGTTACCCCACCGGAAGAGCAACAAAGAAAAAGAAACTTCATTTTTTCATTTTTAGGCATAGCTAGTGAGCCGGACTTTAATAAGTCCAAGCTCAACTCACCCCCCCCCCCCCTCTTCCAAAAAAAAAAAAAAAAGAGAACACTTTTGAATTGAATTTTTCAAAAGTTTTCGTAGAAAAATATACTATAATGATGTAATATATGTGCAATAAAAAATAATTAGAAATATATCTCGAGAATAATTCAATATTTTTTTTTAGAAAACTAACAACCGAAAATGTGACCTAATATTTTTAAGCTTTCGGGTTTTGAACTTGTAATGTGAGGCTTTTACTCAACTCACAATAAACTTCTTATTATACATATATTGTGTATTGTGTATATAATATTATACAATTATAAATATAAATTATGAATAATATGCATGATGGGAGAGGGTCGGTTTGGGTGTAAGGTGAGAATGATTGTAAGTAAAAGTTTCTGGATTAAAAACCTCTCACTTAAAAAAAATCATATTCTTTTAATATACACATCATCATACATAAATAATATTTTTAAGTATATTTGTTTGGGCTGGATTTTGATTGGGCCAAACCTAATTATTCTCAAGTTTAGCTTATTATTTAATTGAAAATTTATAATTAGACTCAAACCAAGTTCAATCCAGTAATACGTAGGGCTCGGCTCTAAACATTTCAGGCTGAGCTTGGGCCGATTTGAACCCCACTGACAGTCCCATTCTCGAGTGACAATGGAGGTTTCAACTTCTAAACAAAATCGGGGCCCATATCTGCCTCATTTGCTTAAACCTTTTCTTTAATTTAACGTAAATCACAAGATCTACTTCCAATTCAATAGTTTACTCAAAAAGCTACCCCAAATCTGCTTTGTTTTTACTGTTAAAGGGACACCTTTACGCACCAAGAAGCATGGGAAAGATAGGATCAAAGAAGAAGGAAACTGCGTCCGTGCAATGCATAGCTTAACAATGAAAAACGATGCTTTGCTCTTTTTTGTTCACTACCTTATCTTACATTTACCATTCAGTTTTTTTGTTTACCACTTTGATTTTCATCTCTAAGTGGAAACCTCATTGGATTGAAAGTTGACTCAATATTGGAAAGCAAGACATTACCATTCTATAAATAGAACCGATGAGGATAGCATGTCTATTGTAAAGGGCTAGTATTAAAGGCAAGGAAAGATACAGTTCTAAAACTCTCAATTGCTAAACTTACAGATGGTATCATGTATACACAGTACAATTTAGGACAATTTAGGACAATTTAAGCCTGATTGGGTAAGAGGCGGCTTGATTCCTATTATTGGTCGTGCACGGCTCTCTCAGGTTACAACAACCAAAATTTTTAAATTAAAACCTAGCAAACATACCAGAAAAGGAAAAAAGAAAAAAGAAAATCGCTGATTTCGTCCATCTTCAGCTCTGTTCATTGTTCGTTCGAGTACACGGCAGCTATATGACACTAACGTCATAGTTCATCTTTTACATCTGCGGTGGAGCTTTTAGTCCCTTCTTTAGCATCAGAACCTTTGGGTGTTGGTAAGGATGTTGGTTTCTGGAGCTCGAAGGGGGTAGAAGCATGTTTCTTCAGGAACTTATAGAGTG